GCCTCCGGCTCACCTGGGCCACCGGGACCGGGGTCAGGGTCAGAGCTGGAGCCGCCCCCCCCAGCACAGAAAGTCTGAAATCGTACATGTATACATAGTACCTCCATACTTACCTACTTTATATATTTTAGTATATCAATTGGTCCTACACATTTTGTATTAGATATGCTTTTCCCCATAATTTAGGTATTTTTATCGTTTATGTATGTGAAACTAAACACGTGTGTTTAGGTGCTGGGTGTATCTAGGGTGTAAGTTGCCTCTCTCTCCGTGAGCCCCGCATGGGTAGGATGAAATACATCACATTCCTACACTTCAAATGCAGGGGGAGTGGGACCACAGGCAGCTTCTACAGCTCCAAGGGGAGGGTGGCCCAGGAAATGCCACGCAATTCTCTTATCTGCTGCCTTATCTCTTTCTGCCTACCTGCGAGGTGTGGTGGGAATTTCAGCCTTTCACGGAGGGACCCTTCACCCAGGGCAAGCGTGCCCATTTGGCTCTATCATGTAGAGTGTGCACTGAGTCAAACCCTTCAAAGCATGCTGACATTGAACTTTTGAAACGTCCTGAACGGAATTTGGCAAAAATGACTTTATTTATTTATTTATTTGTTTGTTTGTTTATTTATTTATTTTTCCTTTTAGTGAAATCAGTGTCATTTTCGCACGTAAGGAATACCAGAGAAAGACCTGATTTTGCTTCGGGAGATGCTAACAGGAAGGTACAGAGTGGGGAGAACAGAACACGGAGCATAGGAGACGTAACAGAGAGAGAGAGGATACTGTGACTGAACTTGGGTTTCCTCATTTGGCCTTTCCCTCTCAGAAAAAGAGGTACTGCTGTTTCATTTTCTAAGAAGAGCCTAGATAGAGAGCTTCAGGAAAAGAAGCAGGGTACTTCTAGTTTTTTAACATCCTGTTCTGCCAGAAGCGGAAAGGCAGCTGCAGTAATTTTGCCCAGTGGAGAAATACTAGCACTGAAACACAAGTGTGAGAGAGCAATTTTCAACAGCAGCAATCTGTCTCTGCCCGGTGCCCTGAGCGCAGAGGAGGGGAGCCATTGCAATAATTTTCTGTAACGTTAGCTCTTGCTTGCCAGGTCTGTGGTGTTAGGCATAACGATAAAGCATACCACTATCTGTATGCTTGACTAGTATCAAATTAAAAGACCTGATTGCAAGGTGCCAAAGTATTAAAACAGCCAGACCAGATGAGCACAACGGTCCTGACAAGCCCCTTCTTTGTCTTCTGATAACCATCAGGGGCAGATACAGTAGGGATGGGAACCCCTGCCTCTCTCACTTTCCATTTATGATAGCGCATGAACATACCTGTCTCAGAGAGGGGTTTCCTTCCACTGCCAGGCAGCTCACAGACTCTTCCCTGCAGACAGTCAAACTTTTCCTTTACCTAATCCAAGTGAAAATACTGATTGTTCCTAAAATCACCAAAACTTGGTAGGAGGCTACATTTCCTTCCTATCTTTTCAGGAGGCATTCTCTAAGTTAGTCATGTTTGTAGCTCTGTATTTTTTAATTTGGTAACCTTATTTCATGAGTTGTCCTTTTCTCCTTGTGACATGAAAAAGTCTGTTCCTTAGCAATTTCCAGACAACCATTTTGTGCTGATCCTTATTACATGGGAATCAGTCTTGCTGGTGTGTAATTACAGCTTCAGAGTGAAATAAAAGCAAATTTCAACTGTCGTTCCTCATCTAGAAGTCTCTCAGCCTTCAGTTATTATTGTCTCCTTTTGCATTTAGTGGTTTTGTTTACTCTCTTACATGATTGTCAGTGTGACTTTTCAGAGGTACAAAGTATACTTACATGCTCCTGTGGAAGTTGCTCATTAATGTCATAGAAATTCAGTTTGATAATCTAGGACAAAGCATAGCGTTTAAGGGAAGGAGAAACTGGAGTTTACACAATAGCATTAAAATACTTCTATTACTCTGAACAGTTTCATGTGGAAAACCACTTTTTAAATTGGTACTTCACATAAAAGAGATACTTTGGGCTGATCTATCTATAACAATGGTTAAAGTTTGGGGAGAGCTTAAAGGGGGATCATTAACCTGTGCTGTACTACACTGAGTTACACTGATTCGTCAGGAGCCACGTTGTTCAAAATATAGTAAGCTCTGAACAAACAGCACTTGCTCATGAGTTAGCTACAGGTCAGGAGATTTGCCTGTTGGTACTTTAAAATGTCTAAGTAGCATTGCTGAGACTCTAAGGTATAATTTCTAGAAACAGGAATTTCTTCTGTGCATGGCATCTTTGTAATGCTGCAGATCACTGTTCTCGTATCCTTTCATTGCTGTCATTTTCCATTTCACTGTACAGGTTCTATTTTTCTTGTCATTTATACTGTAAAGCAGATGGCTGCATCCTGACATACCTTCCTAAGGTGAGATTTCAGAAATTCTCAGTGTTTATCCAGCCTTTTCTTCTGCCTGAGCAATGAGCATTATTACTGTACATTTCTGTGGGAGCAGAGGGGTCAGTTCTGAATGTTGTAAAAAATGTCTCCTCTCAGACTGTCCACACATGAAAATTACTCCCAGTTACAGTCAAGGGTGAGTTTACAGACAGGGAGCTAATCCAGGATCATCTCATGTGTCAAACTGTTTTCTAGGATCAGTATGGCAACTCACAGACCTGTTCCAGAGCAGGTTGTTTCTTCTGGAATTGCTCTGCCCAGGAGCAAGCCCGTGTCCCTTTTGCTCCTGATAACCTGGGAGATTTGCAGACAGGAGGCTGTTTTCAGGAGAGGTGGGTGATACCAGCGTGGAAATGCTACTGCCACTGAAGAATTCAACCGACTGCAGAGCTGTTATGGTCAAAGCACCTGTCTTCTCTCAGCTATCAGGCACATGTCTGCAAGGAGCTCCACCATGGGCTGCGGTCAAACCCACTGCTACTGGCAGCAGCAGGAGACCTTGCTTGCTGAATGCTCTGAGTCAACTAAAAGGCTGTATAAATGGCATTCCTAGATAGAAAAAAATAAGGTCTTTTAATAAAGTAGGAGAATTACTAGGGCTGCAGTATGTTCCATTCTGATTTATCTGTGTGTTTGGTTTGACTTTTTTTTCTTTCTAATAATCTCAACTGTTCTACAGTAGTAATACAAACCATTAATGTTTATTTGGAGATTATGACTTCAGATTGTACTGTTGATAATAAGAGAAGAAATACAACTAAAAATGTGTGTTCTTCTGTAGAAGTGTTAGTTTGTTGTGTGTGGAAGAAAATGCCACTTGTTGGTAGACTGTTCAAGTGGTAGTCATGACAATGACTAAACAAATAACTTCCAAATGTCTTGAATTAGGTGGAAAGCTTGATGTCCAGTTCCCCTGACATATTTTTGGTTGAAGCCCTCCAAGCTTGGAATGAGGGATCTTGAGTTCCTATGGATCTTGTGGAGATGAGTTCCTTGTAGTCCATCAAGATATGAACACTTCACCCATTCTAGAGCTCATTTCTTTTAAGGATCTTTATATTGAACATTCACTGACATTACCGGGTCTGTAAATGTTTACATGCCTCTCCTCTACATTTTCTGGAGTTTTCGTGGTACAAAGCATTAGTAGTATCATCTTCAATAGTCTCCATCAAAAATGTTAAGCTTCAAAAAATGGAACTTTTTTTTTTTGCCCGTGCATTTTCAAATAAATGGTCACCACTGGCTCCGCTAAGAGCTTGAATGTATGAGTGTTAAAACAACCTGCCCTGTGCTGTGTTTGAAGTGAACAGGTTGAACAGGTCATTAATATCCTGTGTTCATGTTTCTCATAAGTAAACATTGCTTTGAGAAATGACACGTCACCAAAGAGCACTGGTGCACTTGTCTAACGGCCCTTTGCTTTTGCAGCTTTGCAAGTTCTTTGGTTCTCTGTTGGCTGTTTGCCAGGGATCTGCAGAGTTGTTTGGGGATTTTTTTGGTGAAAAGCTCTGGGGATTGCTCATTTTTCCCTAAAGGCAGATTTGCATCATCTTTAAATGAGACTAGGATATGTAGTAATATACTTTTTTTTTTTTTTTTTTTTTTTTTTTTTTTGCAAATACAATGAATTTCCATGCCTTAAGCTAAATCAGAGGTTTAGAGGAAAAATTCTTAGTTAGCTTTAAATTATGTTCTGATCTGCAGTTTTATCTGCTTAATCTTGAGAAGAGAAATAATGCCATGGTCTTCTCTAGTCAACTTCCAGAATGGCAGGTATGTAGTCCTAGGTGAAAGAGGTCCTGCAAATAACTGTGCTTGGGGAATATCTGAATGCCACCAGTCACTTTAGCTAGACACATCTCCCTCAAATCAAAATGTTTGCAGTCATCTTAACTCCCAAATGGGAATATTGTAACACTTTCCAGTGAACCTAGGTTTGCACTAGGAGTGCTTTGTTGCTGTGGCTGCACTGATAAACAGCATCAAGAAGTGACTCTACAAACTCTTCTCATGGCAGGAAGGTAGCTCTTGCTTTGTCTCCACCATGGCGCCGTGTGCCTGGTGTGGTGGGTGATGGCTCTTTGGAGGACTGCATGAGGCACCAGAGCAGAGAGCTGGCCAAGTTAGAAATAGCCTGGTGGCCTTTTGTCTTTCACAAGTATGATACCCACACACTGTTATTTGGCTTGTTTGTGACCATCGTCTGCTATAGCAACACGCTGTTTTGGCAAAGAGCCCCTTTTATGAGTATTGCATTTTAAATTATTGTTGGGCTGTGCTTCTATAGAAAATTTCCGTTCCCTTTTAAAAATAAATTGGCTCTAAATTCCACTTGTGTTTAAGGAATTTCTTGATTCCTTTTGAGCTCTTTTCTAAGCATGAAGATGAAAATTCAAAAAAGTTGTATGACAGAGGAGAAGAGTGAGGTTTTTCAGTCACTGGGGATGATGATGAAACTGAAAAGAGAATACAGTGAGGAGCCTGAGTGTATAGGAGGTACTGTATGGTGTAAGTATTTGTTATCTTTATTGTTTGTTATTTTTAACATACTACATTATTAGGCATAGATTGTGTTTTACAAAGTATTCAAAAGGCAAGTTCTGTCTCTGAGGAGCTTGGTCAATGCCAAAGGAAACCAAAGGGGTGTCAATGTTTATCCGTAAAGTAAGCACACTCATGAATGCATACCAAGTCTAGTTCAGTTCAGTAACCATAGGATCTATTTCTCTCTTACATAAAAGTTTGATGTGTTGCTCAATGAGACATCTGTAAATGGAAATGTGTTTACCCTCATTCATGCTTAATATTTTGATGCCCATAATCTCTTTATCAGGCTATTGTTTTTCTCAGTTCGACATTTAGCCCTGCATCCTTGTTCTGCTTTTTCTGGTGATTGCCTTCCTGTGACATTGCCAATTCATAACCCAAGTCACTTCACAACACTTTCATATTTTTTTCCTGGATAGCAGCAGTTTCTTTCTGCACTGAGGACAGAAGTTGGGTGGTATCAGAGGTTATTTTTGCCACTGTATGTGAAATGACGCAAGAGAGAGTACTTCTGCTTCGGAGAGCTTTATTTCTTACATCAGAACTTAGAATAGGGAAATATAGCTGAATGTGGGGAGATGTAATTTATATCCCATCTGAGTATAAACGTGTAGACTGTCTAGCTGGAGGGCTGTCTTTTACATATGCTATAATGTGGCAGTACTTCT